AGTTTTCTATTCTAGTCCAATATATGTTAATGCAATCATGATAAGTGTTGTTGGCAAAAGAGCTATCTTGACATTGCAAAATAAATAAATATTGAATAAGTAAGGTACACTTTTGTACATCAATGCAACTTTTCCACTTGGAAAAAATATCCTGGGAAGATAATATTTTGCTGCATTTCAAAATAATGCCCATCAATGTACATTTACTATGTGGAAACCACATAAAAGTAAAAGGTCTGAGCAGTAAATCTTTAACAACAGAGATGAAGCTAGTTTTTTAACTGAGAAAAGTGGTGATTAGTGTCTTAAAATTTCTCTCCCCCTGAGACCTAAGAGAAACAGAAGGAGCAATTAACAGGCACACATTGTTAAGTAATGCATTGTACAGATGGAGCTGTTAATATAATTCCTTGATCTGCACCCTCTCTAGGGACTGGTTCTACAGTTCTTACTCAGACTAACAGATTGACTCCCATACCCTGAATAAGCACTGCAGGATCTAACCGTCAAAGAGACACCGTTACGTTGGAATGACAGACCTAAAACGACACTCTACCCGCTTTGCTTTGCTTTGCTTTGGTAGCATAAGAGCGCATGTCATGCTGACCTGTGTCGGCTCCATTCTTTCGAGTAGGCAGGGTAACGAAATGTACAAGAATCCTGCCCTTGGACGCTGCTAGCAGAGTGTGGAGTTCTTTGTACATTTCAATATCCTGCCCGCTCACATCGACTTAGGCAGCTGATAAAGCAGAGGGACGGCGTGATGAGCACAAGGGTGCTTATGTCATGCCAGTGTACACATACCTGCAGTAGCAAACAAAACCAGCTCTTTAGATTTGCTCTTGGCAGGTCGCCCAGCGGGGTAGTTGCCATTTTAACTAGCTGCAATGCAATTTGGGAAACTGATACACTTTTTCCCAAGGAGCTGTTAGATCTTTTAAATGTGATTTTCTAAAGGCTGGTTTAAATCATGGACTTTATTCTTAAAGGAGCATTTAAAGTTAATTCTTTCAATCTATCCTATTTTAAACTTGGGTAAATCCATTTAAATGGTAACAGAATGAGAAACTTGCTAAATAGTCTGGACAACAGCAATAGACTTTTGAATTAATTGCAAACAAAATACTATCTGATTCAGAAGCCCCATAAACAGTAAATAGAACTAATCAACATTGGAAAATAAAAAGGCATTCATCCAGATTTCCACAGAAGCAGCAGAATAAAGTTTTGCCATAGAAATGTTCAAAACACAATAGGGACCTATTATTAATACAGCAAATGTGTAAATCCAGAGACATTGACCAATTAAATAAAAAATTGTACAAAATTCTGGGGCACAATGGAAACTAATTAATAGCCAAAAGTGCTCAATATTTCAGAAGCTATTAAAAACACACACTCACCCCCATAAACCAAGTTTGTAAGTATTTCCTCAAGCACCTGAAGCAGCTACAAGAGTGTCTAACAGTAGTCTCATTTATTTGGAGGAGACTTCTTCAGCTAGATTAATGTTCGTGCAGTTCTTAAAGTGCTCTCACTCCTATGAACCATTATTTTCTTTGTCGGTGTTTCAGAGAGATTTAAAATGCATAAAATCATATGCCTACAGGTCTACATATATCACATTCAAACTGTCAGAGCTCTGTAAAGGAAAAAACAATCTGGAAAACTGCACGTTGGAGAAGAAACGCCCAGCGTTGTCCAAGATTTCTAAGTCGCCTCCTTCAATTGAGCTCAGACAGTCTCCACGCGTCACCCTTACTACTATTTCAGTTTCCCTGAAAGGCCCTCATACCTTTCTGTCTGCTTCCTTAAATCAACCCATTGTAGAGATTTTTTTTTTAAATCCCTGAGAACTGCAATTTGTTTTTCCTGTGGGTGCTTGCCTCTGTTGTGTCGAACATTAGCATGAAAAGGATGCCCCTGTAGGGCAACGAAGCATGAAATCCCGCAGCTGCTTTACACAATAACAATATCCACATGGAAGACTAGCACACACCATGTCACTAGATACAATAACACATATTGGAAGTGTCAGTAAAAAATTAGCTGTGGCTGGTTTCTCTTTCAGTGTATTCCTCTCTCTCTCTCTCTCACACACACACACACCCTATAGGGGGAATAGCTGAATGGGGAAATTAGTCGTTTGTAGAATCATATATTAAATAAGACTGAACATGCAGTCCAAGCAAACTCAGGTGGTTATTTTGCTTGGTTAAAAACTACAGGAACGGGGTCTAATTAACTAATAATTACAGTATACACTTTCGAATGGAAATCCTCCAACAATGTCCTCTGATCTATTCACACATCCTTAAATACAGCTGACGAGTATGATTTGCTTTAGTGTTTCTTCCTTTCGTTGGATATATTCCCCACCCGCTCCAGATCTTAAAATAAAATAAAAAACCCAGAAAAGCAAAGAGCACTCTTCTAAAAAGAAATGGGGTAATGCGTTCTGATTTAAAGATTCACAAACCTTCTTCAGCATAGCTTCTCTTTAGAATGATTAATAAGTGCGTATGTGCTGGAACTTTATATTCTAGGGAAATCAAACTTTTATTTTTTAATTAGAAAAACAGCTTATTGTTAAATGTTTTAATTTTGTTTTTAATTTGAAAAAGCACTTTGGTGTAACGGAACATTTCGCAGTTACTCGGCCCTCTTTTCCTTTGCTTCATCCCTTCATCTTTTTAAGACGCTTTGAGGGGTGCAGAAGAAATTACTACATTTCTAGATTATCACTGGTGATATTTTAACTTTAAAGAAAAGCAAACGACTGTTTTTTCAGTCCGTTTATTCCATGGGATATTTTAGCCTAATGTTAATCTTATGCTTTAAAATAAATAGAGGTAAACAAACATAAAATCAATATATCGATTTTGCCCTTCACCAATAACTCAGCTTAACGTCTGTATTCGGACTCTAGTGAATAGCATGTGTATATTTGTTTAACTAAGCGCCAGTTAATTCTTTTAGCCTGGTCAATACAATTGCTCCAGCTTTCTTGGACAGCAAGATCGAAGCTCAACAAATCCTGGTATTGTCCCTGTCTGCGGTTTCCCGTCTTATCACACAACTCCGCCAAGGACCGATGTGCTTAAAAACTATCCCGATCTCTTAGGCGCCCTGAACAGATGAAAACCTACCGCTAGTGGGGAGTTGTTACAGTATAGCAGGAGCTCGCCACACTCCGCAAGCCCCTCCGCTCCCCGCCCCGGCTGGTCCTGACACTGTGTAATTGGCGCAGGTTACATTTCAAAAGCCAGGATGACAAGTTTCAGATTTCTGTCCACACAGGGAGCCAGCCCAGCCCCGCCGCCGGGGGATGATGGGGCTGCCTGAGACAGCTTAACTCGCCCGCTGAACAGGCTCGACGCCCCTGAGCTTCAGCCACTTCTCTCTCTCTCGCTGCATCTCTCCCCCCATCACTTTCATCTGCTCCCATCGGCTTCCCACTTCGCTTCCCCTCATTTCTTTCCTTTTTCCCTCTCCTCTTTTCCTTTCCCTCTCTTCCCGCCCTCAGAAAAAAGCAAACTCTTCTCCTCCTCCCCTCGGTTTGCCAGGCTGGGCATAAGGCTATTTCTGTTGTAAGCAGTTTATTTTCTTAAACTGACTCTGTGTGTCCAATCCAAAGCAGCCAGGTCTAGTGCCCCTGGGCTTCACGCAGGCAGCTTTCGGCTGGCAACTGTCCACTACAATACGGACACAAAAGAGTTCAACCTGGCGGCGCTACAATCCCCAGCATGCTGAGTGACTCCCAGTTTGGACCAGATCTCCCTCCTGAAGAGAAAACGACTCGAAACAATGACTGTAGAACAATGATCTCAGGAAAACGGGGGGGGGAGGGGAAGAGAATCACCAAACTTTTAAAATACACTTGAAATTATTATGAAAAACAGATTTTTCCAATGGTATATTTTGTAATAAATCTAGTCAAACCGCGTTCCCGGAATTAGCAAACCCTGTCTCTTGTAAATCCACAGCCTCCTCCAAATCCTTTTCAACACTTATTCCTGCCATCTTTGTCTCCCTAGTCCTTTAAAATGTCAGACACCCGACAAACACATTCGTCACTCAAGAAGCAGCTACTGGCCATCTCAACTCACCACCACCACGTCCTGGAAGGGAGAGGCAGCACGGGAGAGGCCCACCCCAGACTGAAATCTCCCCAGAGATGAAATAATCCCCAACACCAGGATCGAGCTTCCCACAATAAAAATTCCTCAGATCACAGCAGCCTAAAAGCAGCAGAGTCACACGGGTTCAGGCGGGACCCGTGACTGCATTTTTTAAGCCTCCCTTCAAACTACCTGCAAAGGGGAAACAGATCCATTTGTGGTTTGGGGAGAAAAGAGGGGTGAGCTAATCCAGCATCACGTGCCATGGGGTGAGACGGATCATGCATCGGAAAGGAAACACCTTGGGGGGGGGGGTCAAATCCCCTTTCTAGTGCGTAAGTAGTGCCCGTGACCAAGCGAGCGGGGTCTGATCGCTCTGGCTCCGGCCAGGGGACCGGCTAGCGCTCAGCTGCACTGAAGGAGGGGGCTGGCGGGCAGCGCACCTGGAAAGAGCGAGACACTCTCAGTTACTGGCTGCCCGGAGCGGCCCGCCTCAGGTTAGGCACGTGCCCCAGCGCAGCGCAGCCCCGGCCAGGCTGCCCGGCCCGGCACCCCCTGCCCCGCGCTCGCGACACGCCGAGCTTTCCCACGCTCCGCCGCCGCTGGACCGCCCCCCAGGCTCCAGCCAGGGCCGAGCCCGAACGGGGCGGGGCGAGGCCGTCACTCACTCGCCTTCTCCTCCAATGGGCGGTGCCCCCGCCCGAAGGGGCGAGGCTTCGGCAGGCGGTGGGCGGGGTCCGGGCGCTTGAGGCTGAGCGGCGGCGTGGGAAAGCGCCTTAGAAGCGCTGTGGGCTGCTGGTGCGTTGGGACTTCGCTGCGGGCCACGCGTCGGTTCGGTGCTCGCTCCCTGTCCGTGGCAGGGGCTGTGCCGCTGCCGCCATGAAGCGGCCGTGCGAGGAAACTACCTCCGACAGCGACATGGACGAGACCATAGACGTGGGGAGCGAGAATAATTACTCGGGGTAAGGACCTAGATGCGGGGGCTGCTGCACCCCCTGGCTTGGAATGGTTCCTATCATATGGGGAGTTTGTCATTTGGTTCAATGGCTCTCAGCACCCCGGGCCAGGGGCTGGTATGGTGCAGCACCTAGGCGCTCTGTGCTGGGGGAGGGGGGATGGATGTCGGCTAATGCCCAGGCAGGCGGGGTCACACACGTGGGGGCTTGTGAGCTGGCAGCTCCAGCGTCCTATTTCTCAGGGCTTATCCGGGGATTTTTTTCTCAGTGGGGGGGGGATGTTCTGGTGTGGAGCATCCCGGCCCCTAGAACCAGCCTCTGGTCAGTGGGAAGTTGTGGAAAGACTGGGGTTGGGATTGGAGCTGATGTAAGAATTAAGAACCCTCCTGCGATCCCATGTTGTTCGGAGCAGTGTGCTTACCTGAGCCCAAGCTGTCACACCCCTATAGGTGGATAGAAGGGGGCGGAGGCCAAGGTAGGCTTCAAGCTGACAATAAAGTGCAATAGATTCTTTTCACTACTGGTCTAATTATAAACACTTGAACAGTCCACCATCTGAAAATGAAATGATAAAAGGGCTAATATTGAATTATAGAAATTAAATCAACTCAGTGTGTTTGGTCTCGCTGCTGTGTGTTTGGAGGAATGACAGTCACCATCTGATTTAGACCGTGGTATTCTGTTTTAAGGATCTGTTTCAGGATATATATTTTTTTTAATAGCTGAATGCTCTGTACATGTGGAGTCATGAAATCTCCTGCTACCAACATCAAACATGAACAGGGACTTAATATCTCTTTTTTAAAAAAGACTAATCAAGTTCTACTAGGAATTTTAGTGCCCAGGCAGGTCAAGTTATAATTTAATCTAATTTGTATTCCCACAAATTTTTCCATGATTTATCTAAGGCTGTATATCACCTATGAGATTCAAAATTATTTCCAAGATTTTGGAACTTAAAAAAAGAAAAATGTACAGTTTTAATTAATTGGTTATGATTACTTGTAGGGATTGTATTGAAAATATAACAACAGATATATCCTGAAAAGTGATCAGTATAAGTAGTCTCAAATACCTCAGTACCTATAGAAAACTACTTTTGGAAAGTGATTATTCCAGTCACTGAGCGAACACTACAAGCACTCTCTCTCGTTCCCTGCGTAAAATGAGAATGAAGTTTCCCAGAGTTTGCAGAGACAGGGCTGGATTTGAAAGTTGGAAGATATTGCCAATTTTCAGAAGCAGGTTCCAGAGTCCATTTGTGTCTGCAGATATGTGAAAAATCGCTCTCTATGTATCTTTGAAAGACCATAATGGTTTCTGTTCACTCCTGACAGAATGAAATGTATAACACTTGCTGGTGGTGGTAGATTTAAAAACAAACGTTTTAAACTTTTTTTTTCTGGAGCTGGACAAAGCAATGGAATTAGGACATATTTCTACTTATGTGGGTGGCAATTAGCTACTGTTGCGATAGGCACCAATGTGAGAACCTAGACAGAGACACAATCTGTGGTTATGGCTGGTATATTAAAGCACCTTTCATCACAAGTGTAATCCAAGTGTATGAATTTATCATGTTTTCTTTATTCAATTTTTTTAGACTGAATATTATACACATGAATTTGTCATGGTGGAAGCCAAATCAACTGAGCTGATACCATGATGTGTCTTTGGGAGGGATACTTCTAACGAAGTTATCTGCCAACCACTTCAAACACTATGCTAGGGTAGGGAGAAAGTGAAATCTCGGTAAGAAGGAAAGACTTAACCATGTTGTACAAAGCACCTCTTCCAAACATGTAGAACAACAAAGAAATAGCTGTGAATATTTAATGTGGGACACTAGGTATTTACAAGGCAATAGTGTCATGTTATGCAACACCTGACATACCTTTACTATTTCACAGGCAAAGTAGTGGTTCTGTGATTCGTTCAAATTCCCCAACAACATCATCTCAGATTATGGCCAGAAAAAAAAGAAGAGGGGTATGGATTTTTTTTTTTTTTTTTAAATTTCCCATGTAATATTTGCATGTGTCCTCCTGATTTTTGTCCTTCATGGTTTTATAAACTCATTTTTGTTTTGTTTTTGGGGGATAGATTATAGAGAAAAGGCGCCGTGATCGTATAAATAACAGTTTATCTGAGTTGAGGCGGCTTGTGCCAACTGCTTTTGAAAAACAAGTAAGCTTTTCTTATTTTATACCTGTGTCATCTGGCAGTGTTGGTTTTCTTTAAAGCTCATTAAAATAATATCGTATGTGTCCTGATCTGGCACAGAGCAGGCATTTCAACAAAATGCTTTGTTGTGGCAAAACTATTAAAAACATAATCCACCGTAAAGCTGAAAAGCATTTCCATTCTTTGGCTTGTTTTTCCCTTAAGGGTCATAGTTTTCATGTTGTCTCTGTTCTTTCGATGAATTCCAGTAGTGGTTTTGTTAAAAAATGTGCTTTATTCCATATACTTAAAAAAAAAAAATTGTGGGCCAGTTACCCATCTGTCTAAATCTTCTAACAAAGTCCCCCTTCCCCACCTCTTTAAATAGCTTTCTTGTAAACAAAATTCACAAATCCAGAATAATGTAATCAGTCCTGTTTCCTAAAAAGTAAACAGATTGCCTAGGTTACTCAGTTTTTAAATGTCTAGTTAGTAGCTGCATATTAGATTGTAGGAATACGGTCCTGCTCCTAATGAAGTCAAAGGGATTTTCAAAGGCTTACAATGGGAAAGTCTTCAATGGAAAGATTCACCTATCCATAAAACCCCGATATTCAGTAAAACAGAAATGCTAGGGCATATTAGAATAAAACCCAAAGTCAAAATATGGCCAAAGTAGTTGCTAATTTAAATCAGTTCGTTCCAACAAGAGGGGAACAACTAAAATTTAAGAACAAAGCTCTTAGTAATTTAAATACATTTAAAACAAACACAAACAATGAGCCAAATCCTGCAAGGTGCTGACTGCTCTCAACTCCCATTGATTTTGGTGGGAGTTGAGAGTGCTTAGCTACTCCCAGGATTGGGCCTTATACTATTTCTGAACTAAACAAAAGCTAACACTTAAGTAATTGTGCACTTGTGCTACTTGCAATATGCCTTTAATAGCTCATAGTCAGAACGGTGCCATTTCATAGACTCTGGCAACATGGCATGACCAAGGCATTTTCAGCTAGGCAAAACAGGCTAGAGACAATTGTTTGTGCCATTTTATTGTTTACTTCTTGAAAACCACATACATTATAAATCAAGTCCTACATAGCCCTTGGAAATTACCCAGCAACATGCAGTTTTGAGCTATTAGTCACTCTCATTGAGACAGCTTGTATTCTGTCTATGGAAAAGATTAAGATTGAGAAAAGTACAGGCTATAATTCCATATAAGATTCTAACAAACAATAGTTACAAATTCACCAAATTTTGGTATACTGAGATGTTGAGCATATTAACTTAGTAAGAAAAAAATAAGTGGAAAAAGTAGCATATAGTGGGTTCTTAAAGTTTTTCCATGATGTATCAACCACAAAACATCAGTTTTTAGTATTCTTCTTGACGTTCAGATCACTGAAATTGCCATACTTGTAAAGGGTCAATAGTCTTAGTTGAACAACAACAAAATCAAAATCTCTGTTCTTTAGAGATTCAGTTGTAGAGTTTTGTAGGTCATAAAACTTAGTTGCAGAGAAATATACTTTTGACTTCATTTCCACCATACAACCTCAGTGAAATCAGTGGATTTTTTTATACCTACTGAAGTCAGCAAGGTTGTATGGAGAGAAGAATTGGCTCATGGGGCCAGATTCTCAAGCGGCATAAATCAACATAGCTCTGTTGTAGCTCTACTGATTTATGCCAGTTGAGGATCTGACCCATAATATTTAAAGGAGAGTGTAGTTCTTTAGGCATCCTCCAGATGTGTAAGGAAATGCTAATAGCCACACGAATATTCATAAATTTATCAACAAACAAAATTAATTATCTCAGTATTGTAAAACTTAAATTTTATATTTTCCCAATATTTACAAGCCTATGAACCAGCATAACCGAGTCTCATGGACATAGCAAATTGTGCTCTCTGTTAACAGTGATGGTCTTTCCTGGTCCTGTAAGCAAGGCCTCTTCCTAACCTAAAAAATTTTGGACAATATATGTGTATATACAGAAATGACCATGTTTCAATAAAGGATAAGAATAGAATTTTTATCATCCAAATGACTGATCAAAAAATTGTTGGGTCATCTTAAAAAAAAGTCTGTGTAATTCCTGGATTCTCTTTTGTATGTGTACACAGTGACACCTACTGGTAAAAGCAGAAAACAATGCTGTGATAGGCTCCCCTCAATAATTGCACATTGCTTGCTGTTTGTTATATTTCTATGCCTCTGTGGGAACAAACTTCTGAAGAGCCACCGACTTAATCCATTGCACAACAGTGTAATATCTGACATGTCTACACTGACTTTAGTCCACAGATACATTAGGCTATACCTTTCATAAGGCCAATCCCCTTGTCAAGCAATTCTATTATTTATGCATCTTTAATAATGATCCCTTCTGTTGCATAAATAGACTGTGAACCCCCTAAACTGTAAATTTTTTTGTGATATCACTATTTCTTTACTAATGTGTTAGACACATACACATTGCTAGACGTGATATGGTATTTGTCTTTAAATAAAGTCTGGGATGCAGATGCTCAGTGAAAGCATTAAGCTGAGAATGTTCTAATGGTAGGGAAAATTGAAACCATAAGACTGAATTCAAAGGAAAGTATACCAATTTAAAGCTTACAGTACTTGTAAGCCTCTATTTATTTGAACCTCTTATCTCAAAGGGATCTGCAAAATTAGAAAAAGCAGAAATACTGCAAATGACAGTGGATCATTTGAAGATGCTCCAGGCAACAGGAGGTAAAGGTAAGGAGTTGACTCTCTCTTTTTTTTTTTTTCTAATATTTCAGGAAATCTTAGCAAACAGTCCTTTGACGAGCCATGATAGGCGATTCCAGATTAAAGGAGTGGAAATCAATGCTAATGTCAGGATTGAACTCGTGGGAAAGAACTGCTGGGACAAAAGAAGCACTTGACCCTGGGCTTGTGTTTGCTTTCATAACACTGTGGGAGTAAAGGCTTCATTCACAGGCAGCCCAGTCAGAGATTTGTTTGGGGTTTCCAAAGAGCACTGAAATCTGCACAGGGAGACAAAACAAATACACAAACATCCAAACATAAACAGGAGGTTTGTGGCAACAATTGTGCAGCACAAAACCAATGTTAAAACTCATTATAAAGCAGCTATACCAAAGGAAGTGGATCCAGAGGAACTTTCATTATTGTTTATATATTTTCTTTGTTCTGAAAGACTATTTTAAATTCAAGATTAGACTGTCTCATTCACCAGACCAAAATCTAATCTTGTTACATGCACCTCTGGGTATCCGACGATAGACAGATAATACATATTTAGACTCATACTTTTATGCAGGCAGTAACGCCTGGCAGGGTGTTCAGTTATTCCTCATTAGCTGGCACTGCGATGATGTTGAGGCTGGAAAGTAAGAAACGGGAAATGGCAATTTCCAACAATTTATAACTCAGCTCAACCTTAATCTAATTTTGGGTATGTTTTCACTGCATAGTTAACCCAGGTGATCTACACCCAGATCTGAACTCCCAAACAGCCATGCTACAAAGCCCCTCCTGAGTTACTGTGTCCTCACTGGTGCCACCCCCATGTGTGTTGCTAGGACTTCTGGGGGCACAGCCTATGGTTACCTGTGTTTCTTTTAGTAAGCCCTGAGTTGCTCTGAGTCTTACCTCGTGAATTGTGGGAGAACTTGTCTATTCTTCCTGGCACATGGGGAATTATGAGAAGGCATTGGAGGACTATCAGTACTTGAGTGATTTAGCCTGCATATTTGCTGCGCAGTGGGTGGGTTACCAGCCCAAGTGAAAGCTTCACGTGGGTTTTAGCCTACAGCCACAGACAAGCCAACTAGCCCAGGTTGAAAGCACCACTAAACTAGGGGGCAGGGTGTTATGTGTGGACAAGAAAGGGGTCTGAGGCAACTTCAGTATAAAAGCAGTGAAGTCGTACCCTTCATGGGACAATAAAAGGCCCTGAGGGCTGTCTTAAATACTCTGACTCGAATTGAGATATATAGTGAAAAACTACCCTGTTTTGAACTGAAAGTGACTGACAATGGGAGACCATGCGTTATAATGCTGAATGGGTATTATTGCCATAGGGCATTATTTCCCACTGGCGGCTGCTTTCAATCTGAAGGGCAATAGTTTTCTCAGTAAACAAAATGCTGTAGGCTATAAATTGAGTTTGATGATAAACTCTTTGGGAAGGAGAATGTCATTTCCTCTGTGTTTTAAAAAGTATCTACCATGTTTTGGGCACCTAATTAGATACCTGTTTAATTCTCTCCCTCCATCCAATGTGCTATAGATTCAGCTATCATTTGCTGAAGTGCCTCAGAGCTCAGATGACCATAGCGCCTACATAGTATGTCTTTAAGTGATTACAACATTTTATGTAAAGCATTTTTTATTGAAAACCTTTTCATGCAGAAGCAATGACAAGATGTTTTTAGTTTACTGTTAAATAACACAACATGTCATGAAGCCTTTATGAATTTACTTAGCAGAGTTTGTAAAGACTGTCTCCAAACTGTCAAGCGGTAGATTTTAAGAACTATTTTATAAATGCCAACGTAGGGGAGAAAAGGCAGGATATTATATACAAGCCCTTTAATCTTCAACCCATTCCTTTGTGCGTATGTGCGTGAGACACACACACAGACTCTGGGTCAGTGTTACCATGGAAAAGCTTGCTGTGGAATTTCAGTTTCCCACAATACAAGATGAGAGGCATCATAAAGCTTTTTGAAGAACCTCAAACACTGATGGTCTTAATTTTTCTCCACTGTAATATTTAGTTGCAAGAACAACTGTAGCATATTACATTACCAGAGATAATCTCACACACAATTTACAAAGCAAACTTTCCTCCCACCAAATCTCAAACCATAAATAGGAGATACAGATATTTAGCCAGGATCATGCTAGCTGACTCCTAGCTAAGATAGGCTAGGAAATCATCTGATACTCAATGCATCTTTTACCTTTCCTTTCAGGTTATTTTGATGCTCATGCACTGGCCATGGATTTCATGAGCATTGGATTCCGAGAATGTTTAACTGAAGTTGCAAGATATCTGAGCTCAGTGGAAGGTCTGGACACATCTGATCCGCTAAGAGTTAGACTTGTGTCTCATCTCAGCTCTTGTGCATCTCAAAGGGAAGCTGCTGCAATGACCTCATCCATGGCTCATCACCATCATCCCTTGCATCCTCACCACTGGACAGCAGCATTTCACCATCTCCCTGCCGCTTTACTGCAGCAGAATGGACTTCATTCCTCTGACACCACTCCTTGTAGACTTTCAACAGCGTCGGAAGTGCCTCCTCATGGCTCTGCTCTTCTCACGGCCACCTTTGCCCATGCTGACTCCGCGCTCAGAGTGCCCTCAGCTGGCAGTGTTGCTCCCTGTGTCCCACCTCTTTCTACCTCTCTTCTCTCGCTCTCTGCCACTGTACACGCTGCTGCTGCAGCTGCTCAGAGCTTCCCTCTGTCTTTCGCTGGAGCATTCCCAATGCTTCCACCTAGTGCAGCGGCAGCAGTGGCAGCTGCAACAGCAATCAGCCCACCATTATGTGTATCGGTAGCTTCCAGTCCTCAGCAAACTAGCAGTGGTGGAAATAGTAAACCCTACCGACCTTGGGGGACTGAAGTTGGAGCTTTTTAAGCCTCACACACACACAAGCCGTCTTTGGACTTCATGCAGTAGTAACTCAGTGTCCTTCCTATTCAGTCAGATTGAAGGTCTGTATCCGCGCAAATAGCCTTATAGATGCCTGCAAGCCAATCAAGGAACAGTAAAGCTATTCTAGGGTCAGACTTAAAAGAGGACATATAGCAGTATTGGGTATATTTTTCTTTGTTTTGCTTAAGGCACATTGGTGAGCAATGGTGGCTTTCAGAAACATCATACCCCAATGACCATTTAGAAGTTTATTGGGAAATAGGTAGACTCTAGACCCAATAATCCTCCAGCCATACACCGTTATTTGGTAGACAGATGGGGGCTAGCACCTCTAAATTTCTCCTGAGGCTGGACGAAAAGTTCGAGTTTCATAAGTGCCTGACATACATATGCGTTCTTCTAAAGCAAATCACACTGCACAAGTATGAAAAAAAAAGAGATTGGGGGGAGCAAGAAGGGGGAGAATCCTGCATTAAGCTACAGACATTTTGATACATTTCCAGGAAAGAGTGAACTCTAAACCAACAGGTTTATTTAGCCAAAAGGATTGCTGAGAAAGAATGTTCAGCTTGACAGGCCTAATTTTATCTTACCTAGTTGACTTTCTTTGTACAGACTTGCCAAATGGTGACATCTAGCATAGCACTGGTAAAAGCAATTATCTTATCAGCGCTTGGATTGATGAACATTTCAGCACTGTCTGTGAGCCTTGAGGCACTTTGGTTTTTTTTTTTTAAATGGCTTAGACTATGGTGCTTGCTTGTCTCTGAACAAGCAATGAATTTATAGTGCACACAGAAGTAGCTGCCTACTAAAAGCGTGCACACATCAAGACAGTTGATCCATGCCAATACAAGAGACTCAATGTTGTAAAGAGTTCAGATTAACTTATTTAGTTGCATTGGGACATTTATTTTTAGCAGCCTCCTGATTCTGTGCAAGATCTCTCCTCTTTTCACTATCAACTTCTGGAGGTAACGATTTCTCTGGGTCTGAATGAAGTTACTGTGGGGGTGTTATTTTAAATTGGCTTTTTACATGCCAACATTGTAAATGTGGGTTTGATTCCAAACCAAAATGAATGTACTAAAGGGCATATCAGTAAATTATTTTGTCAGTACCCAGACAACTAGTGCTGCATTAAAAGTTTTGCTTTCTTTTTTTATTACAGTGACTTAAAATAACCTAATATTTTAGTACATTGACTCAAGAACTAGAGATTTTATGAGAAAATAAAACACAGCATGTATTATGCACTTGATTTCTCTGCTGTGTGGAGAAAGCAATAAACATGGAGAATGTTAAACATTATGCAAAATATACTTTAAAATATTTGTTTTAAAAATACTGTACCTAGTTGCTTTTTTGTGCATTACTTTGTTAACCTTTTTCTATGCAAAAGTCTTTACATATCACTAATTAAACGAAGTCCTTTTGACTGCGTTTTATAGATGATTTGTTGCAGTTGTTTTTGCTTGCCTTTGGGAAGTGGAAAGCCTAAATGGACTTGAAGTTCGGTGTCTACCTTTGATAACAAGCATCCATAAATTGCTGTTTTTGTTTTGACCTCTTTGTTTGTTCTAAAAGCACATCTGGTACGTAGTGTGCTTGAAATGGGAATGGAAAAATAATCCTACCACTGAAACAGTGTTGTTTTCAGGTTTGTAAACTGGCTCAGTGTCAGTTGACAGTAAACCTTACAATATGAACCAGTCCTGTCCGTTTCCCTCACCCCACCCCACCCCAGCAGCAACAAGAAACAACTGTGGGTTGCAGATGTCTCTTTTGTTAAAACACTAAAGATGTGGTATTATTTGGAATGAGTGGCCAGGTACTAACACCAGAAGATCCTCATACATGTTAATAGAGCGTGTTGTTTTTTACTACTTTCCAGTCTTCCTTTTTGCAGATCCTCATGGATTAGTAATGTAGCCACTGGACTGAGTTTGCTGTACCTAGCATTTAATCTCAAATCAAGAAGATAACGTAACTTCTATAGTACATTTAATCTCGTGCTAAAAGCACTTAACCAACATTAAGTCACAAAATCCCTGTGAAGTGGAGAAAGTATTATGATGCCCACTTTACAGATAGGAAGATTGAGGCACAGAGACATGACATGCCCAAGGGCAAACAGCCTGAGGCAGTATCGGAGTATGAACTACAACCCCTCCACCTTGACTCACTGTGCCTGGCCCTTGGTCCAAACAGTAAAAAACACTTCCAATCTTAAAGAGAATAAACTAGCCTATTATGCAGATTTTTGTTTGCTTGGACAGTAGAATATTAAAGAATGAACAAAGGGTGGTTGAGACATTTTATCTCTGACATGTAATAACATACTGGATGTTCCTTCAAGGTCTGCTGTTTGAGGAGGGAATCAGATTTTTCCTTATGGAAACACAAGTGCTGCTCTAAGTATGTTCCAGTACCTTGAATTTTCCTCTACATTGAGTAAATGTAGGCCAACTTACAAGGAGGTGGAAGGCTGCATCTTTTCTTCATAGAACAGAGCAGATTGCAGCATCTCACTCATGTCTTTAATGCAGAAACTATTAGCCTTGCCAGTCAAACCATGCGGGACATTAAGTATCCTTCAAGTCACACGAGCATACGATAAATGAAAGCAACCTGTGGCTTCATTTGCCCCTGGGGCTTCATTTGGGTTCCCCCACCACCACCACTTTGTGCCCTAAAAATCATAGATAAGAATACATAATTCTGAATCAGAAGTACCTACTTTTCTATATTTGAAGAAATTGAGTTTTACATTTTAGTTATGAATATTTTAAAATAAACTGAGCGCAGGCATCATATTTACCTTATTTTTAGAAATAAAATAGGTATGGATTTGTGAGCTCCCATGAAGTGCCAGTTTCAGTGTGTTTAAATCCTGTTTTTTGATCCATGCAACAGAAATGGTACAGACAGTGGTAGTGCAAAGTGCTCAACTGTGCCATGACAGCACCACTGTGAAGTTCCCTCGACCACCCCATCCATATACCCTGAGCCATCTGCAAGATTTGCAGCCGGTACGCTTTCAATCTGTGCCAAGGGCACACCTATACACGCTTATGCTCCATACTCTTCATTTCCTCGCCCTCATGTCCCACCCTGATACCAAACGGCGGGACCTAATGGCACCCATTGAGGGTGGGTAACCCCGGTGGGCCAGCCTGTATTCCACCTTACTCCCACAGCCTGACGGGGATATCAGTTGGCAGCTTCTTCACAGAACCGTGAGCACAGGCGTGTACTTGGTGTGGTTCACCCCTGTCCCTTCTGTGGTGTGAGGGAGACCCTGGCACACATTTATCTAGAGTTCACTTGGTTACAGGCCCTACTCTGTTCCTCCTAGATCTTTTGTTACGTTTCTGGCTGCACTTTTTGACCCATCTTCTCATTTACGCACAGCCTATCCATGGCCCCACAAAGTCGTGGGACTTCCTCCCGGTGATGGCCAAAGTGGCCATCTATAACACCAGGAAGAGGATGTTGGCTGAGGGAGTTCTTTGCAACTGTGGGCCCTATTTCCGGTCTGCCCTCCGTTCATGCATCCGGACGGAGGTCTTCTGGGCGGCGTCCGCTGGCTCCCTTGACACCTTCGAGGAGCAGTGGGTGCTGTCCAGGGTTTTCTGCTCGGTGTCCCCTTTAGGTTCTCTCATTTTGACTCTTTGACCTTCACACCCACCCTTGTTTTTTGTTGTTGTTGTCCCCTGTAATCAGTTCAGTTCCCAGGCTCAAGAGATCCTCCCCAAAGGCTGGGGGAGGGTCTTTAGCCGTGGGGGGGCTTATGCCCACCCACTTCCCCTGGAATTTTCAATAGAACTACTGTGAAAGGTGACTTGGAGGGACCAACTCTGGAGATGAGACATTAGCTCAGTCTTCATGCCCATTTAGTCTTTGGCCTCTCTGCTTAGAATGCTAACAAGGGTGCCATCTATAGTGATGTGACGTGGACATTTGCCCAGTGAGAACTTAACTGAAATCAATCATATTTTATGTACACTGCTTAATAGCCAGCGGAGAGTAATAATTTCCAGTGTCTGATGACTTTGGTGCCGTTCATACTAATAAGTTAAAGATGAAAGGGTGAATATATCTTACATTTAAAAAATACAGTAAAAGAAAGCTATTTGGATTGCAAAAGAAAGCACTCAAAAGTTAGAAAATGCCAGATTTATGATTATCTGTGCAACCCTAATTTTGTCCTTTTGCGCATCCATTCTGTGTACTGCATGAGGCAGTGGTCCTGTGGAGAAAACAGAACATGCTCATGTAATCGGAGACGGTTTCATAACACATAATACAAGGCGGATGAATTAAGGTTGTATGGTCATGTGTAAATCTGGCTTTTCTTAGTTTTCCAGTGCTTAACATTGCAACCTTAATGTTCTTTAAAGATGGAAGGGGGGATTGCATGCAATTTCCTAAGATGTTTCTTAAGAAAAAAAAAAGGTTAAAAAAGGTACTTTTATGTACAACTGTAGCCTCCCCCAGTCATTCATCATCAGCCTGAATCCTGAACCCATACCACTTGAGCTGTATAACTAATTACATTAACTGGCAGCAAGGGAAAGCTACTCTCCTACTGAAGGGAGATGGGCTGCTGGAGCCATGGACTAGGTCAAGTGATGAAATTAGGGGGAGCTTGGCCCATCTCCCCATCTCCACCCCCTGGGAGTCAAGGGAACTCCTCCCTTATGCAGTGTCCCAGAGGCTGGAGCCATGTTCTGGGCAGGTATAATCAGAAGGAGTTTTACCTGGCCCAGTTGCAGCTACATCTGTTCCAGACATTCTCAGTTCAGTGCACGCTGCTGCTGCTTTAGCAGTAGCATGGGCCTGACTTTTTAGAACGTTCACGTTCAATGATTATTTTACCAGTCTGACAATGTTTTCCTGCAGCACACAAGTAACAGAAAAGAAATGGCAATTTTAAACACTTTATGTCTCAACCAAACATGAACAAAATTTCCTGAGATAAATGAAGGTCATGTCTTTAGCCCCGGGACTTTCAGAGGACTTCTGCAAAAAAATGAAGGTATTACGTTTTCTCAACAACAACAAAAAGTTGCAAGCATATTTTATAAGGGAAAGTGTTAAGAAAACTAAATATAGGGGTTGTTATTTACTCCCTCTATTATTACTAGTCCCCTGAGCTATCCACTCCCATAGGTTTGGATATTTTAAATATCACACTTATGAGAATTTGATTAAGTGATCACTCTAACAGCCACAGGCAGTTTTGTTCAACTTTACAAAATGATAAAGGGATTTTTATATTTTATCCATGAGTTTTATACACTTTGTAAATAGTTTGGGTGTAATTTTTACTCAAAGTGGCTGTAGCCCACTTATGAGTCTCTTTAACCTTTTCAACTTTACGAATCTTTACA